CCCTCCCTCTGGCAACCACCAGTTTGTGCTCTGTATTTATGAGTCTGTTTCTGTTTTGCTCATTCATTTGCTTTGTTTTTTAGACTCCACATATAAATGAAATTATATGGTATTTGTCTTTCTCTGTCTAAATTATTTCACTTAGCATAATATCCTCTAGGTCCATCCATGTTGCTGCAAATGGCAAGATTTCATCCTTTTTTATAGCTGAGTAATATTCCATTTTACGTATATACCACATTTTCTTTATCCATTCATCAGTCAATGGACTGAGGTTGCTTCCATTTCTTGGCTATTATAAATAATACTGCAATAAACATAGGGGTGTATATATCTTTTTTGAATTAGTGTTTTCATTTTCTTCGGGTGAATACCCAGAAGTGGAATTGCTAGATTGTATGGTATTTCTGTTTTTAATTTTCTGGGGAACCTCCATACTATTTTCCATAGTGGCTGCACCAATTCACATTCCCACCAATAGTGTGCAGGGTTCCCTTTTCTTTACATCCTCGCCAATGCCTATTATTTCTTATCTTTTTGATACTAGCTATTCTGACAGGTGTGAGGCAATATCTCATTGTGGTTTTGATTTGCATTAGAAACACAACTGGATTTGCGTGGATTTTGTACCTTGCTACTTTGTGAAATTCATTTATTTATTGTTTTGGGGGGAATTTTAGGGTGTTGTACTTATAAAATCATGCATCTTTGAACAGAGATAATTTTAGTCTTTCCAATTTGGATGTCCTTTTTTTCCCCTTAGCTTGTTTAATTGCTCTGGTTAGAATTTCTAGTGCTATTTTGAGTAGTGGCTAAAGCAGGCATCCTTATCTTGTTGCTGAAATTACAGGAAAAGCTTTCTGTCTCTCACCATTGACTTTGCTATTAGCTGTGCGATTTTCACTTATGGCTTTTATTATGCTGGAGTCGTTTCCTTCTACTCCTAGTTTGTTGAGTGTTTTCACCACAAAAGAGTGTCAAAATTTTGTCAAATGTTTTTTTGCATCAGTTAGTGGAACATTGGGCTTTTTCATCCATTCTGTTAGTGTCATATATAACATTAATTTTCATATGTTGAACCATGGTTGCATACCAAGAATAAATCCTACTTGGTGTGCATTCTTTTGATATGCTCCTGGATTCAGTTTGCTAGTATTTTGATGAGGATTTTTGCATCAATATTCATAAGGGGTATTGGCCTGTAGTTTTCTTTTCTGGTAGTGTCTTTGTTTGGCTTTGGTATCAGACAACAATAGTGTCATAGAAGAAGTTAGGATGTATTCCCCTTCTTTTCAGTTCTTTGAGTTTGAGGAGTATTGGTATTAGTTTTTTAACATTTAGTAGAATTCACCAGTGAAACCATCAACTCCAGGGCTTTTCCTTGTCCAAAGGTTTTTTTAATTACTGATTTGACCTTACTAATTATAGGTCTACTCAGATTTTCTATTTCTTGTTGGTTCAGTCTAGGTAGGTTTTGTGTTTCTAGGTATTTGTCCATTCCATCTAGGTTATCCAATTAGTTGATTATCTAAATGTTCATGGTACTGTCTTTTAATCCTTTTTGTTTCTGTGGAATCAGTAGAAATGTCCCTAATTCATTATCTCTTTTTTAAAGATTTTGTTTATGTATTTGAGAGAGGGCGGGAGAGAGAACAGGAGCAGGAGGGGCAGATGGAGAGGGAGAAACAGTCCCCCTGCCGAGAAGAGAGCCCGATGTGGTGCTCGATCCCGGGACTCCAGGATCATGACCTGAGCCGAAGGCAGTCGCTTAACCGACTGAGCCACCCAGGCGCCCTCCCCCATTCATTTCTAACTAGCAATTTGAATCTTCTCTCTCTTTTTTCAGTCAATCCATATAATGGTTTCTCAATTTTGTTAATCTTTTTGAAGAAGCAACTTTTGGGTTTATTTATTTTCAGTATATTTTTCTCTTCTCTATTTTATTTATCTCTGTTTTAATCTTTATTATTTCCTTCCATCTGCCAGCTTTGGGTTGTTTGTTCTTTTGCTAGTTCCTAAGGTTGTGAAGTAGGTGATTGGTTTGAGGTCTTCTTCTTTTTTTAAGATTTTATTTATTTATTTGAAAGAGAGAGAATGAGAGAGAGGGCATGATAGGGGCGAGAGTCAGAGGGAGAAGTAGACTTCCTGCTGAGCAGGGAGCCCCATGCAAGACTCCATCCCAGGATTCCAGGATCATGACGTGAGCCTAAGGCAGACATTTAACCAAATGAACCACCCAGGCGCCCCAAGGTCTTTTTCCTTTTTTTTTTTTTTAAGATTTTATTTATTTATTTGTCAGAGAGAGAGAGTGAGGGAGCACAAGCAGGGGGAGCGGGAAGCAGAGGGAGAAGCAGGATCCCCACTGAGCAAGGAGCCTTATGTGGGACTCTATCTGAGGACCCTGGGATCATGACCTGAGCCGAAGGCAGCCGCTTAACCAACTGAGCCACCCAGGTGCCCCCTTTTTTCCTTTTTAATGTGTTTACAGATATAAATTTGCCCCTTAGCGCAGCCCTTACTGCTGGTATGCTGCACTGTGTGTTGTGCATTAGTTTTTGCTCATTGAAGTATTTTCTAATTTCCCTTGTGATTCTTCTTTGACCCATTAGTTGTTTGAGTGTTTTATTTAATTTCCACAAATTTGTGAATGTTCCAGTTTGTCTTCTGTTGTCTCTAAATGATATTTTAAATTAATGCATCACATTTTTAAATATATTCTGCTGGTATTTAGGTTAAATGTTCTATCTGGAGGTTGAGGTAATTTTCATTGATCAATCAAGATACATTCCACACCTCTTGAGGTCAAGTTTCTCTATGGCAATGCTTGAAAGGTGAAAAGATATTTTAACTTACACCAGGCTTTAAGAAAGCTTTATGAAATTTATTTCTACATTTCCAGCATGCAACACAACAAAACTGAGGTATATTTAAGATGTAACACTAGAAACAGAAGAGAGAGAACCTAACTGTGGAAAAGAGAAAGAAATAAGGGAAGGCTTCCTGGAGGAGATGACACATGAGCCGAGACTGTCCAATAGCAGGAAAGGAATCAGAGAGAATAGCACCACTCTCCATTTCCCCAACTCTTTCTGTCCCTACCATGCCTCCACCTGAGGCCTTTCCCCACTAGTGAGCTTCTGCCCCTCCCTGGACCCCACATGAAATATCACCTCCCCCTGAAGCCTTCATGCCCCCTCCTCTTCCAGCTGCCAGCAGAATTGATTGCTTTCCCCTTAATACGACCACCCCCTCTAAAGATCACTGAATCACCCTTTAGCATTGAGTTACATTTTATATATTCATATATATGTACGCATGTTTATTTATTTACCTTTTCCTTTTCCCTGTGAAAGGCCTATTGTTCAATGTTCAGAAATCATTTAGTTAAATCCTCTCCTTTCATAGGTGAGAACACCAAGGCCTAGAAAGGTTCTGTGACCAAGGTCACCTAACTCACAATTTGAAAAGACAGTTTTTAAAAATCCAGCCCTGAGGTGAGACGTTTTGAGAATAGCTAGAACCATGCACATTAAATATACTGTCAAAGGTTCAAAATAGCTAAAGTAAAAACCAATGAACCACTAAAGTAATTAGTAAAAATTTATTGTGCACACACCAAAAATACAGTTTGCAAACCGGGAGCTCTCAAACCAGAGCATGGAATGAGGCTCAGGATATATTGTTATAAAGCAACTTGTGCCGTGAGAAAGCAGTGACTGTTTATTCTTCACAGATTGGCTGCAATATGAGATTTTTCAGTGGTCCCTTCATATCATCCATGGGAACCAGTTCAAGTTTTGCTTATCATTTCCAGAAGCTCAAACAAGAAATGATCTAGGTCAACTTAGCCTTGCAAAATAAGCTAAATTATGCTTTGTTTGTATGATCATACTGGTTACTCTGCTTAGAATTTTCAAGGCTAGTCTTCGTTCGGTTTTGATTTTAATAGGCTCTATCTCTCAATAAATGCGGGACAGCCAGCGAAAGCTCCCCAATACGAAGCAGCGCTATCTGGGCGGCACTAGGACCCCGGGGGCTCCAGGTTAGCTCTCCCCGCTGGCGGGTGGTGGCGCGGGTTTAAGGTACTGCCGGAGCGGGAAGCAAGGGGAGGGCGGGGAGGGCGAGGAGGGTGGGCGGGTAACGACGGTCGCGGCTGCCCTGCTCCGCCCCCGGGACCGCGCGGACCCAGGCGGGCGAGCGGGGAGTGGGAGTCGGGCGGCGCCCCCCCCCTCCGCCCGGCTCAGCGCCGCCGCTCCCCGCAGCGCACTCTCCTGCCGCGGGGACGCTGAGGGCGCCGGCTGTCTCCCGGGGCGCGGCGCCTGGTGGACAGACACATCGTAAACGGGAGAGGAGAGCGCGCGCTTCCGCGGGGACGGGGAAAGACACGCCGGTGACCGAGCTGAGGCTGCGGTGACCTAAGGTGACCTAAACCAATGACTTCGGAAGATGAAGGAAAGGCAGGTTGAAGTGTGGGTTTGGAAATCAGGGAGACATGGGGAGAGCAGGCTGGCTCCAGGACGGGGAGCAGGAGCAGGAGCAGGACGGGCTGAGAAGTAAGGGGGGTGAGGATGAGTGTGGAGCCTAAGATCCTTGGGGGCTGAGATGGCATTTGACCTGTCTTGATTTCCCATCGCTGGTACAGATTAGTGTTTGAGCTGAATTGTGCTGTTCTTTTAGGAAGTCTGAGTATAAAGGGAGGAGAGCTGAGCTGTGCGCTGAGTCAAGAAGACTGTTCAAGGCTTCTTTCTGTCAACTTGTACAGAGGAGGAGATTGGGTACACCAACTTGAGGAGACCAGAGACAATAGCAGTGAGGGGTGGAGGAATGAGCTGTGAACAAAAACAAGGACTGTTGTCACAGAGACAAAGGAAAAGATGAAGGGTGGGAGAAAGGAGAGGCTGTGTATGTGTGTGACAGCTTTTGTTTCCTCTTTTCTTGGGAAAGTGGAAGGCAAGGTCGTCTGCCAAGAATGAGATGGTGGACAAATTGGATAGGAATTAAGAGAGTAATATTGTTTCAAAGGCAAGTTGCTGGGGTAATTAGGTGAGAGAAATGCCCAAAGACAAGTCATAGGAATGGTAAATTGTTGGGGGCCTTTTACAAGATTTTGTAGGGTCACAAATCTGCTAAATGCCATCATTTTCTCTAGCAGTGATCAGCTGCTGGATAGCAGAGAGTGCTGGATGCCAGCCCAAGGAGTCTGGGTTTATCTTCTAGGCCACCAGGTCCCAAGTCCTGCTCACCAGAATCTCCTAGAAATCTTCCCTAAAGCACAGATTCCGCAGAATCACTGCCCAGAGATTCAGATCCTGAGTGGGTTTTGAGGTCTGGAAATCTGTATTTTTAATTAGCTCCCTACTGATTCCCATGTAGCCAGGTAAGAGTTGGCAGATCCTGAAGACTTTTTCCATCTTATTGAGGTATAATTGACAAATAGGAATTATATATATTAATTATATATATTTAAGGTGTTCAACTTGATGTTTTGATATATGTATACATTGTGAAATGATCGCACAATCAAGCTAATTAACATATCCATCACTCCACAGGATAGCCAGAGTCTTTGTGTGTGTGTATGTTGAGAACACTTGAGATCTACCCTCAAGAAATTTCAAGTATGCAATACAGCATTGTTAACTATATCACCACGCTGTACATAAGATCTCCAGAACGTATTCATCTTGGATAATTGAAAATTTCTACCCTTTGACCAATAGCTCCCCATTTCCACCTCCCCCTAGCCCCTAGTTACCACCATTCTACTCTCTGCCTGTCTGAGTTTAACTATCTTAGATTCCACATGTGAGATCATGCAGTATTTGTCTTTCTGTGTCTGCCTTATTTTACTTAGCATAATGTTTGCTATGTAGCTAATTAGCATGGTATTATGTATAATATAATATATAATATTTTAATATATATACAATATATTATATATTTATTATATATATTCATACATATATACCATGGATATATATACTCAGAAGTGGGATTGCTGGATCATATGGTAGTTCTATTTTTAATTTTTTGAGGACCCTCCATACTGTTTTCCATAATGGCTGTACCAATTTACATTCCCACTACCAGTGTACAAGGATTACCTTTTCTCCACATCCTCAGCAACACTAATTTTTGTCTTTTGATAATAGCCATCCTAACAGGTATGAGATGATATCTCTTCTCATATGTCAAGGAGTTTTCCCCCTATTTTCTTTTAGGATTTTACGGTTTCAAGTCTTACGTTTAAGTCTTCAATCTATTTTGAGTTGATTTTTGCATATGGTGCAAGACAAGGGCCCAGTTTCATTCTTCTGCATATAGATATCCAATTTTCCCAACAATATTTATTGAAGAGACTCTCTTTTCCCCGTTGAATGTTTTTGAAACTCTTGTTGAAGACCAATTGACCATAGATAGATGCATAGATGCACTGATTTATTTCTGGGCCCTCTATTCTGTTCCATTTTCCTATATGTCTGTTTTTTTACCGGTACCATACTGTTTTGATTGTAGTGTATTTTGAAATTAGGCAAGGCGTCTCTCCCATGGGGCTGGAGGGTCCCTTTTCTCTTAGCCAGGGCTGGAGGCCAAGATCAGCCCTTGAGGGTTATTGTCAGGGCTGCCACAAGCTGGCAGCCTTGTTTTCCTGCCTCAGACATCTGGAGTTGCTGGAAGCTCCCACTTGGTCTATACCAGGCATGCTAGCCCCACAGCCAGACTAGGGGCTGAAGTGGCAACATGGGGCCTCTGGCTCTCCTTAGATAGTGCCAGGCTCTCATGAGCTGATCCTGGCCTGTGTTGCCCCAAAAGTAACTTAGCCCCCTGCCTACCCCATAGGCAACACCTAACAAACACCTAAACAGGTAGTCATCTACCACAAAGATGCCTGTGAGGGAGTGGGGCCTCTCACCTCTTGCTCTCCTACTAAACAACTTCTTTGGCTCCTGCGGAATATCACTGGGAGAGGAGAGGGTGTCCAAAAGTGGGGACTTCTGCTGTAGAAGGGGTATCCGAGGCCACCTAACTCAGGGAGGATCACCATTTTTCCCTGTGTGATTAGCTTGGGTGTTGCCAGGCCACTCCATCCACCCACTCAGAGCTGTCTCCTACACAGAGTCCCATACAGGATTGTGAGGCATGGGGTGGTGAAGAGCTGTGAGTGGGTGCTGGAGAAGGAGCACCACAGGCATCAGGGCAAAGAGGTTAGACCTGACAGTACACTGGCCAAAGTGCAAGCCCCACTTCTAAGCAGTTAGCTGCATCTAATTGGACAGCTTGGGCTCCACACAGTTGCAAATGGGAAGTTTTCTGTGTTGAAGTGCCTACTTCATCAGCTGACAAAGTAATGTTTTAGAAAAGTTTTCAAGTTCTAACAGTTTTTCTTCACTAATAAAAGTTCTGAAAGCATTTTATTTTATTCTAAAAGCAATAAATCACTTTCTGTGAAAAAAAAAGGAAATGTGATGCCTCCAGCTTTCTTCTTATTGCTCAAGATTGTTTTGTCTATTTGGGGTCTTCTGTGTTTCATGTAATTAAGATTATTTTTTCGGGCGCCTGGGTGGCTCAGTTGGTTAAGTGACTGCCTTCGGCTCAGGTCATGATCCTGGAGTCCCGGGATCGAGTCCCGCATCGGGCTCCCTGCTTGGCAGGGAGTCTGCTTCTCCCTCTGACCCTCCTCCCTCTCATGCTCTCTGTCTCTCATTCTCTCTGTCTCAAATAAATAAATAAAATCTTTAAAAAAAAAAAAGATTATTTTTTCTAGGGGTGCCTGGGTGGCTCAGTTGGTTAATCGTCTGCCTCAGGTCATGATCCTGCTCACCCAGGAGCCTGCTTCTCCCTCTCTCTCTGCCACTTCCCCTGCTTGTGCTGTCTGTCAAATAAATAAATAAAATCTTTTTTTAAAGATTATTTTTTCTATTTCTGTAAAGAATTCCATTGGGATTATCTGTAAATTACCTTAGTAGTCTGGACCAATCCATGAACATTGAGGTCTTTTCTTTTATCTGTGTCTGCTTTGATTTCCTTCATCAATGTTTTAGAATTTTCAGTGGACAAATTTTTCATCTCTTTGGTTAAGTTTATTCCTAAGTATTTTAGTCTTTTTGTTGCTATGTGATTAGGATTGTTTCCTTAATTTTCTTTTCAGAGAGTTCATTGTTAGTGTATAGAAACATCACTGATTTTCACACATTGATTTTGTTTCCTACAACTTTACTGGATTCATTTATTAGTTCTAATAGTTTTGTTGTTGTTGAGTCTTTGGAGTTTTCTACATATATGATCATGTCATCTGAAAACAGATAAATTTATTTCTTCCTTTCTGTTTTGAATGCCTTTCATTTCTTTTTCTTGTCTAATTGCTCTGGCTAGGATTTCCAGTACTATGTTGAATAGAAGTGGCAAGAGTGGGCATCCTTGCCTTGTATCAGATCTTAGAAGAAAAGCTTTCAGGTTTTCCTCATTGATTATGTTAGCTATGGGCTTTTAATATATGGCCTTTATTGTGTTGAGGTAAGTTCCTCTACATCTAATTTGCTGATAGTGTTTATCCCAAATGGATGTTGTCAAATGCTTTTTCTGTGTGTATTCATCTATCATGAGATGATCATGTTTATCTTTCATTCTGTTAATATGATGTGTCACATTAATTGATTTGCCATTATTGAACCATCTTTTCATCCCACAGGTAAATCCCACTTGGTCATGGTATATAATCCTTTTAATGTGCTGTTGAATTGGTCTGCTAATATTCTATTGAGTATTTTAACATCTGTGTTCACTAGGGATATTGGTCTGTGGTTTTCTTTTCTTGTGTTATCTTTGTCTGGCTTTTGGTATTAGGGTGTTGCTGGGCTCATAAATGGTTTGGAAGTGTTTCCTCTATTTTTTGGAAGAGTTTTAGATGGATTGGTTTTAATTCTTCTTTAAATGTTTGGTAGAATTTATCCATTAAGCCATCTGGTCCTGGGCTTTTCTTTGTTGGGGGGTTTTTAATTATTCCTTCAATTTTCTTATTTGTTATTGGTCTGTTCAGGCTTTCTATTTCTTCTTGATTCCATTTTGTTATACGTTTCTAGGAGCTTCTCCATTTCTTCCAGGTTATCCAATTTGTTGGCATATAATTACTCATAAAGTTCCCTATGATCTTCTTTATTTCCATGGCATCCATTTAATGTCTCCTCTTTCATTTCTGATTTGATTTGTTTCCGTCTTCTCTCTTATTCCTTAGTCTAGTTAAGGGTTTATCAATTTTTTTATCTTTTCAAAAAACCAGTTCTCAGTTTTGTTGATAACCATCTATCGTCTATCCTCTATTTTATTTATTTCTGCTTTATTATTTCTTTCTATCTACTAACTTGGGGTTTAGTTTGTTCTTCTTTTTCTAGTTCCTTAAGGCATAAGGTTGTTTATTTGAGATCTTTTTTGCTAAAAACTTCCCTCTTAGTATTACTTTTGCTGCATCCCATAAGTTTTAGTATGTTGTGTTTTCATTTTCCTTTTCTCAAGATATATTTTAAATGCCCTTTTGACCAATGGTTGTTGAAGTGTGGTCTTTAGTTTCCACTTATTTGTGAGTTTTCCCATTTTCTCACTGTTTTTGAGTTCATTTCATTCTATCATGATCACAAAAGATACATGAAATGATATTGATCTTCTTAAATTTGTTAAAACTTGTTTTTTGACCCAGCATGTGATTTAATCCTGGAGAATGTTCTGTGTGTGCTAGAGAAGAATATGTATTCTTATGCTGTTAGATGGAAAACACTGTGTGTGTCCTTTAGGTCCATTTATTGTATAGTGTTGTTTAACTCCACTGTCTCTTTATTGATTTTCTGTCTGGAAATTCCACCCAGTATTGAAAGTGTATTGAAGTCTCCTACTATTATTGTATTGCCATCAATTTCTCCTTTCAGATGTGTCAATATCTGCTCTGTATACTTAGGTGCTCTGATGTTGGGTGCATTTGTATTCACAATTGTTGTATCTTCCTATTGAATGATCCGTTTATCTTAATGTAATGACCTTCCTTGTCCCTAAAGACAGTTTTTTACTTAAAGTCTATTTTTTTTTTTTTTTGAAATAGCTAAAATTTTGGCGTCTTTATTGATCCTGGGTCATATATTTGGCTTGGAACTTAAAGTCTATTTTGTCTGATATAATTATAGCTACCTTATTTTCTTTTGGTTACTATTTGCATGGAGTATCTTTTTTCATTCCTTCATTTCAGTTTATGTGTATCTTTAAATCTAAAGTAAGATTTTTTTTTTTGAGATTTTATTTATTTGTCAGAGAGAGAGAGAGAAAGAGCACAAGCAGGGGAAGCAGCAGGCAGAGGGAGAAGCAGCAGGCTCCCCACTGAGCAAGGAGCCTGATGCGGGACTTGATCCCAGGACCCTGGGATCATGACCTGAGTCGAAGGCAGCCGCTTAACTGAATGAGCCTCCCAGATGTCCCTAAAGTAAGTTTCTTGATGTGGATAGAACTGGAGGGTATTATGTTGAGTGAAATAAGTCAGTCAGAGAAAGACAATTATCATATAGTTTCACTCATGTGAAATATAAGAAACAGGGCAGAGGACTGTAGGGGAAAGGAGGGAAAACAGAATGGGAAGTCATCAGAGGGGAGAAAAACCATGAGAGACTCTTAACTACAGGAAACAAACAGGGTTGCTGGAGGGGAGGTTGGTGGGGAGATGGGGTAATTGGGTGATGAGCATTTAGGAGAGCATGTGATATGATGAGCACTGGGTGTTATACACAACTGATAAATTATTAAACACTACATCTGAAACTAAAAATGTACTATAAGTTGGCTAATTGAATTAAAATTTTAAAAAGTAATAATAAAGTAAGTTTCTTATAGACAGCATATAGTTGGATCTTGGATTTTTTATCCATTCAGTTACTCTATGTCTTTTGATTGGGGAGTTAAACCATTTACATTTACAGTAATTATTGATTGGGAAGGATTTAATATTACCATTTTGTTAACTGTTTTCTGTTTGTCTTACAGTTCTTTGTCCCTCTTTTTCTCTGTCTTCCTTTGTGTGGGTTTTTTTTTTTTTTTTTGTATTAATAGGTTTTAGTTCCTTTTGTTTTGTGTAGCTTCTATAGGTATGTTCTTTGTAGTTACAATGGGGCTTATATAAATATCTTCTAGCTATAACACTCTGTTTTAAGCTGATAACAACTTAACTTCACTTGCATACAAAAACTCTACACTTTTACCTCTCCCCTACCCCATATATGTTACTGATGTCACAATTTACATCTATTTATATTGTATATCCACTAATATGATTTTAGTTATAGTTACTTTAATGCTTTTGTCTTTTAACTTTTACACTAGATTTAAAAATGATTTGCTCATCAATGTTACAGTGATACAGCATTCCATATTTGTCTATATTTTCACCTTTACCAATGTGTTTCATGCTTTCTTAAGTTATCATTTTGCTGTTAGCATCCTGTCATTTCACCTCCTTCTAACATTTCTTATAAGGCAGGTCTTAGTGGTGATGGACTCCCTCAGCATTTGTTTGTCTGAGAAAGTCTTTATCTTCCCTTCATTTTTGAAGGACAGTTTTTGCTGAATATAGCATTCTTGGTTGGCAGGATTTTTTTTTCTTTCAGCACTTTAAATATATCATCCCACTCTTTTGGGCTGCAATATTTCTGCTGAAAAATCTATTGATAGTTTTATTGGGGTTTCCTAGTATGTGACAAGTTGCTTTTTTCCTGCTGCTTTCAAATTTCTCTCTTTGTCTTTGACTTTGATAATTTAATTATAATGTGCTTCAGCGTGGGTTTCTTTGGGTTCATCTTCTTTAATATCTTTAGGCTTCTTGGATCTTTAGGCTTCCCCAGATTTGGGAAGTTTTCAACATTATTTCTTTGAATAAGCATTCTGCCCCTTTGCCTCTCTCTCTCTCTTCTTCCTCTGAGACTCCCATAATGTTTATATTGGTCCATTTGATGATGTCCCCAGTCCCTTAAGCTATCTTCACTCTTTTCATTCTTTTTTCTTTTGGCTCCTCTGACTGGATGATTCCAGTGACTCGTTTTCAGTTTCACTAATACTTTCTTCTACTTGATCTAGTCTGCTGTTGAATACCTCTGTTGAATTTTTCAGTTCACTTATTGTATTCTTCAACTTTATGATTTCTGTTTGGTACTTTTAAATTTTTCTAACTCTTTGTTGAAATTCTCACTTTGTTCATGCATTGCTCTCCTAACTTCAGTGAGCATCTTGATGATTATTTTGAATTCTCTGTTGGGTAAATCACATATTTCTATTTCATTAGGATTGATTTCAAGAAATTTATATCATTTTTTTGTTTGGAACATAGTCCCATTTCTTCATTTTCCTTGACTCTGTGTTGGTGTCTGTGCATTAGACAAAACAGCCACATCTCCTAGTCTTCATGGACTGGCCTCATACAGGAGAAGACCCTTACCAATCATCCCAACCAAAGATTATGGGTGTCTTTCAGATCTTTGTATGTGTTTCCAAACCATTGTCTGTGTACTTAGCAGCCACCAGGAATCTAGAACGTGACAAGTCCTGTCAGTGCCCCGAGACAGGTGAGATAAAAGCCAACTCCTTGAGTAGCAGCTGAAAAAGTTGGGTGCTGCATATGTGATCCAATTCCTTCTTTCCTCAGGGACAATCTGGGAGCTGGAGTTTATCACCCACTCATTCTGCACTGAGCCAAGGAGAAGAGCTGTGACATATATCTGCATTCTTGTTCAGACCACATACTTTTAAACCATTGCTTTGCTCTCTGTAGTTCCCAGGGGCCTAGTGAATGTCAATCCCTGTCAGCTCTCAGAGACAGGTGAGTTGGAAGCCAGTCTCTCCAGTAGCACCTGGAAAAGTTGGGCTAGATGTGTAGTCCAACTCCTTCCAGGGAGAAGCTGGATGCTGGGCTTTATCACTGAAGTGAACTGAGGGAGAAGGAGCCATAGGAGGAACCCATAAACCTATTCAAAACCACCACTTGTTCTCTGTTGTCCCTGGGAGACTAGCAAATTCCAGGCCCTCTCCTATGGACAGGCTAGTTAGAAGCCAGACCCTCAGTCAACAGCTAGAAAAGTCAGGGTGCTAGATGCGCAGTCTAATTCCTTCCAGGGAGAAGCTGGGAGCTGGGTTTTAGCACCTGCTCACTCTGTGCTGAGCCAGGGAGAGGAGCTACAGGAAGTGCTTGCACACCCATTCAGTTTAGTTTTGTTATGATATTTTCTCACTCTCCTGGCATGCACAAGGCAAAAATATAACAGGGAACAATGGTCATGGGTATAGTTACTGTACCTTTACCTGACCCAGCTGCACCCTAGGGTATTTGTGCACAAAGTAGAAAAGGAAGAACTAAATTATTAAGGAGCTAGAAGCTCTGATTTGGGAAATTACTCTGAATTTTCTCTAAGGGTGCAATGGATACTTTTCTGCCCTCTGGAGGGAGCTATCCAAAAGAAGAAACTGCACTTGGAAATTGACCTATGAGCAGCACAGAAGATGAAGAAGGAGAAGAGGGGCCATCAAGCAGAGAAATGTGGAGGTACAGATAACATCTGACTATTTTTGGGATTCTTCAAGGAGCCTGAGAAGACATATTGCAGAAGAGGAACTTAAAGGACTAGTATTCCTACTGATGAAGCATGTAGGGGCTCAGAATACTGGGTTTGGGGATATCACTATAAATATGAAGATTTTGGACTTTTGTAGAAAAAATATTTAAGTTATTTAAAGAATAAGCCATATCAAACTTGCTTAATTTCCTTCATTTAAAAAAAAATAGTTATTAGATTCATATAACAAGAGAATGCTATTGTCTGTATATTTAATTTTTAGAAATTATTTGAGCAAATTTTTCATCCTTTTAATCAAGATTGAAAACATAGGTCATTTCACAGCCAGTTATATATTCTTTGTCCAAAGGCTATTAGTCACTAACTTACAGTTAAAATTTCTTTTTTTTTTTTTACAGTTAAAATTTCTGCTAAATGTGCCGCAAAGTGCTGCCTTGTCTCTCTCCCATTCTTCTCAATCCTTATTATATAATTCAAGGTCATGAATATTCCATTTGAAGGTTTATTTCCATCTGTTCAGTACCACCCATATCTCCTAGCCTAATTATATCATTTATATTTTAAACATCTAGAAATCAACTCTATAACGAAAATGTCTAAGAAATAATAATCTCATATGCCATTAGCTTTTCTTCCTCTTTACAGTTCTTAGTCAAGCCTAAAGTGAATACCTCCCCTTTGAAGAATGGAACCCCCTTTGAAGAATGGAACCCTCTTTACAGTTCTTAGTCAAGCCTAAAGTGAATACCTCCCCTTTGAAGAATGGAACCCTACCTCAGCCTTCTTGTGTACCATGTGACAGATTCTATCCAGGCCACATTCAACCCCACTGGTTCCTGAATGGACAGGAGGAAAACAGCTAGGGTTATGTCCACCAACCTTATCCATAATAAAGACTGGATCTTCCAGATCCTGGTGATGCTGGCAATGACCCTTCAGCAGGGAGGTGGCTGGACCTGCCAAGTGGAGCACCCCAGCCTGGATGGTCCTGTCACTGTGGAGTGGAGTGAGTTATTCCCTGATAACCATGTAGGCTCCAAATTCTGAGAACAGGGGATGTTCTAGCTCTGGGGTCCACTCATCTTGTCATGTGTCTACACACTGGGGTCATATCTACCCCCATCTTTTTCCTAGAGAAGTCCCTGAGAATAGTTCAGAGCTGGGGTAGCAGAGACTTGGCCACCCTGACCTAGGGGATGCTAAGGATTCATAGGTCTCTGCTTTTGTCAGAAAACCTAGGAAACTCAGACACCTTCCTGAATTACCCTCACACATGGGAACTGTTCTCTGCCTTCGGTCTTTTAGCTTAGTGAGTTATTTTGAGAGGCAGCTACCAGAATTAGCATGTGTGTCCTTTTGAAGTCACAGCCTAATTTCCAGAACTTTGGGGTCCTTTCTACATTTCCTCCTTCTCCAAGGTATGTATCTGTCATAGCCTTCATATTGGTGTTCTACATCAGGTCTCAGAATCTCAGATAGTACCTGAGGGGGATGCAGCAGGTAGAGGTGAGACTGACCCCAGTCTGTGTTTCCCAGAGGCACACTGATTCTGCCCAGAGGAACGCTGGCTGGAATCTCAAGCTTTGTGCTGGGGCTCATCTTCCTTGTAGTGGGCATCTTAGTGCATATGAGGAGCAAGAAAGGTAAGAAAACCTGAGAGGTGGCTGAGGTTTGCTTTCCCCTGACTTACTCACCCATCTTCCATGATAAGGAACTGACGCACAAAAGCAATGCCAGAGAATCCTGGAGGCCACTGAAATCAGATTGTCAGGGAGCAAAAACAGGCTGGAGGGAGAGAGAAATTCGCAGGCTGGAATCTTATCTCAACCAGACGCATGGGGGCTGCAGATACTCAGGTCATGCCTAAGTTCATTTAGTAATGGATTAGTCTTCAACCAGCCCCTGCCTTACTTCCCAGGGATCAGACCATGGCAATGAAAATGAGATTGGAAAGTTTATCTAATTGTCTAAGATGCTTTTAATGGCTGAAGACATTCCCCTTTCTCCTTTCATTTTCACGTAATGAGAATCTTGAAAACCAAGTAATACTCCTGCTTTGTTTTTCTCGGTGGGTGGGTTGCAGAAAGTCCTTTCTTTTTTTTTTTTTTTAAGATTTTATTTATTTATTTGACAGAGAGAGACACAGCGAGAGAGGGAACACAAGCAGAGGGAGTGGGAAAGGAAGAAGCAGGCTTCCCACAGAGCAGGGAGCCTGATGCGGGGCTCGATCCCAGGACCCTGGGATCATGACCTGAGCCAAAGGCAGACGCTTAACGGCTGAGCCACCCAGCAACCCCGCAGAAAGTCCTTTCATTGCACCGTTACTCTGAGTCATCTACTGGGAGAGGGTCTCAGGCCTGAGCCTCTCTTTAAACTTCAGCCCGTTAGCAAGTGTGGAAAACGAGCGTTACTTTATTCCACTGATGAAGGAAGCCCAGAAAAATTCTTATTTTTCATCAGGCTAAGACCCAGTCTCACCAAATTTTTCTTTCCTGAGCCTTAGAGGAAGAGAAGTCAGCAACCTGAGATAACTTTTCCTTTTACCTCTGCAGGTTCCTGATCTGACCCAAAGACCTCCATGTGCCCCGGAACAAGCATTTTTCTATCTTTCCTCAGTCCCAGAGGCTGGTTCCGGGACAGACTTCAGCCTCCCAAGAGGATGTTACTACCAAGTAATGGCTCTGAAACTAGTTTCTATAGTTGTTCTTCTTTGATTCCATGCACACTTTCTCTCAGGGCCCCTATCCAAGTTCCCTTCTTATAGTTCCATAAATAATAAAAGGTCAGTGTTATTGTCTGTTTTCTCTTAAGAATATGCACCAAGTCATCTCTGCCATTGCTTTTGTTTGAGGATTTTGGTAAACAATAGGAGTTCATGAAGAGGTTCATTGTTGTATATACACAGGCAAGAAGGAAAGCATGAAAAGGGGATATCCTAACTCGGGAAAGGTGGCAGATTGGACATGGACCTCCTCTGAATTCACCCTCTATCTTTGGGCTGTCCCAAAGATAGTGATTTGTGTTAGCTACTTTTATCCCTGTAGGTCTGGGACCATTCTTAGTTATTCAAGGATGAGCAGATGGTGAATTTTGTGTTATATGACCTATATTCACACAGCATTGATTCAACATATAACTTACAAAGAGCGTGTTTTACTATTACCATTAAGAAATTAAATTAAGGAGTGCCTGGGTGGCTCAGTTGATTGAGCGTCGGACTCCTGATTTTGGCTCAGGTCATAATCTCAGTCCTGGGATGGAGCCCTGCATCAGGCTCCCTGCTCAGTGGGATGTCTGCTTGAGGATTCTCTCTCTCCTTCTCCCCCTGCCCCTCCCCCTAAAGTAAATAAATAAATCTTTTTTAAAAAGAAATCAAGATCAGAATTTAAAATTGGAAATATAATGTAATAAACTTAAACCCTTTGTTTTGCATACCATGATAAATAGTCCTTGACCAAACAAGGCTTAGCCTTTTTAATGCAACAAGTTATAGAAGATACAGGTTTATCCTTTAAGTCTGTAGTCATCAGACCATCCAGGCCTCCTGTCCTCGTAATTCCCAGTGTTAAAATGCTCAAAGCAGTAGATGCAGTTCTCTTTTTTAAACTTAGGTCTGCTTTTACAGTCCAAAATTATTTTGGGTTTTCTGTTTCATATGAAATTATCCTGAAAGTCGAGATAAGTTCTAAGTGGTCCTTTTTGCCTAAACTATGGATTATTACCTCCTGAGGCACATAATGAGCTCTCAGAAGATCTCTGACGCACGGAGGTGGTGCCTCCTCTCTCCTTACAAGCAGCCCCAATATCTTGTTCGCCCCCTGGCCCCGCCCCCTGTCATTCCCGCGGCTTGTTCCCCTCCCATCATGCCTTGCGTGGGACCAGCTGCCCCATTTCTAAGAGAGGCTGAGGGTGCAGACTTGGGTGTTACTGAGCTAGGAGTAAGCATAGCTGGGGTCTGCAGAAAGGATGGGATGATTAAGTGAGGGAGCCCAGGAAGAGAGGCACCGAGCATGGCGAATCAACCGTGACTCCCATAACCTGATATGTGTGTGCATTGCTTCGTTTAACCCTCATAACTCAAAGGTTTTTTTCTTTTCCTTATGTCTTCCAGGTGCATTTGCAGTGGCTGCCGTGAGGCAGACAGTGGGGAGAGAATGAGGCAGAGCAGGGCAGGGAGGAGCTCTGAATCCAGGACATATTTCCCTATCTGGTGGAGGGAAAAGGGGTGGAAGTGAAACAGCTCAGCGGGGCTCAGCCATCCAGAAAATGTCGGAAGGAGCATCTCAGTGTCTGGGAAAGAGGCGAGAAGCGACGCGGCTGAGAAAGTCCTAACCTATGTGGGGTTCAGGGATAAGAGGAAGAGAACAAAAAGGGAGACATGATAATCACCTTCCTTTTAATGGGATCGATTGGAAATACATCTTTGAAATTGATCCTGGAACATTTTTTATTTGTAGTAACTTTTGTGAATGGATAATTTTCTTCATAATTTCATGTTGATTTTTTGTATCATGTAAGAATTCACTTGATTGTTAAGTAATGATATATTTTACCCTTTCATTCCTTTGATAATTTTGGAGGAATCTGATAATATTTGATCAAAAATTTCCAGACATATAATCAGAATGCAAAAAATATTAACTATTTCACTTCTTTTTTTTTAAAGATTTTTTATTTATTTATTTGAGAGAGAGAGAATGAGAGAGAGCACATGAGAGGGGGGAGGGTCAGAGGGAGAAGCAGGTTCCTTGCTGAGCAGGGAGCCCGAT